GGGGAAGATGTGTTTGGTGGTGGCATTCTGCTGGAATTGTCTGAAATGGCGGAGAATGATCTTACCCTTCTCCGTGCCCCCCCACAACAAATCCATATTTTTACTGAACTGAAACTTCACTGTCTCTCCTGGCTGGGTTTCAGCCCATTTCCGCAGAACATTAGCCTGGCTCTCTGGTTAATTGTCCACCTTCCTAGTTTTAGGAGGAAGGTGGAAATGCTTTTGGTGTTGAAGTTTGGGAAGTAGGTCGAGGACCCTATGAATGACAGGGGCAGGGAATTGGTGAGAGGGGTTGAGAGGAAGATCTATCCATGGCAGTCACAGACACATACAGCAAAAAAAAAACAGACCCTTTGGTCCAACCAGTCCATGCCAACCATATTCCCAAACTAAACTAGTCCCACCTCCCTGCTCCTGGCCCATATCCCTCTGAACCTTTCCTATTCATGTATTTATCCAAATGTCTTTTAAACATTGTAACTGTACCCACATCCACCACTCCTCTGTAAGTTAATTCCACGTGCGAACACCCTCTGTGTAAAAAATTTCCCTAATGTCTTTCTTTAACCTATCTCGAATCCCCCACCCTGGGGAAAAGATAACTACCATTAACTCTATCTATGCCCCTCATTATTTTATAAACTTCTATCAAGTCACCTCTCAACCTCCTATACTCCAGTGGAAAAAAGTCCCAGCCTATCCAGCCTGCATTTTTAATGCAAACCTTCCACACCTGGCAAAATCCTGGTAAATCTATCCTGACCCTTCTCCAGTTTAATAATATCCTTCCTTGCGAACAGAACTGGACACAGTGCTCCAGAAGAGGCTTCACCAACGTCCTGTACAACCTCAACATGACGTCCCAACTCTTACACTCAAAGGTCTGAGCAATGAAGGCAAATGTGCAAAATGCCTTTTTAACCACCCTGTCTATATGTGACACAAACTTCAAAGAATTATGTACCTGAACCCCTCGGTTCCTCTGTTCTACAACTCTACCCAAGGTCCTACTTTTAATTGTATAAGTCCTGTCCTTGTTTCTTTGCAATACCATGCATTTATCATAATGAAACTCCATCTGCCACTCCCCAGCTTGTTGACCCTTTCTTCTTCTCACCTCCCCCCCCCCCCCTCCAAAACCCCTTCGCCACTCTGGCTCTAACTCCCTCCAATGTGTCACCTCCTTGGAGGTGCGACTGTGTTTTCGACCAGGTTTTTGTTCCCTGGTCATGGTGTGGCCTGGTCGTCGGATGTTGGAGATCCCTGGGTGTGTTTTATTTAATATCAGGGCCGTGGGTTAGTTGTTCTCCTGAGTGACTGACCCTTTTTCCTCCACTGATGACAGGCGGTAGTTTCCGGTCGCCTGGAGGCCGGGGAGGAGGCCGAGGCGGAGGTGGTGGCAGGGGAGGAGGAAGAGGAGGCCGTGGGGGAAGAGGTGGGTTCCGTGGTGGAGCCAAGGTGACAGTGGAGCCACACAGACACGAGGGTGAGTATCGCTGCAATACCAGCACCCATGGGCTACACTGCCGTGGGGGGTTGGGGGGTGGGGGTGTGCGGGTGCGGGGCTGGCCAGACAGCACGGAGGGTATCGGGGAAGAGGGTCAGATTGGGGTACCGGAGGGATGGGAGTTCAGTGTGGCGATACCAGGGGATTGTGGCACGGTGTCAGTGTGGGTGGGTGGGAGTGGGTCACTATCGTGGCACTGGGGGGAGTTAATGGGGTGCAGGCAGGGGGAGGAGTGTTAGTGCCAAGGTATTGAGGTGTTCCGCATACCTGGAGGGAGTAGGCATCCCATTAGGCCCCCTGCTTGAGTATGACACAGGAACTGCAGGAGACCGTTCAGCCCTCTCCTTGAGTCTGTAACGCAGGAACAGGAGGCCATATAGCCGCCTCCTCCAGCCTGTTATGCATGAACAGGAGAGGGCCATTCAGCAGCGCCCCCGCCCCCACCACCCCCACCTTGAACCTGTTTCCTGGGAACAGGATGATGTGGGGCAGGAGGTTGAGAAAGTGTGGTGAGAGCAAGGATCGCGAAGGGCGGGTCTGCCCGAATGGTCACAGACGGACCATGAACTGGTTCCCATGGAGGGGGAGGGTTGCCCTGATCTATTGCTCAGGTTCGGGTCAGGTTTTGCAGGGCACTGTGTTTGTGGGTGATGGAAATGAGACTGTACACCCCCCACAAAGTGGGCACAGACTCTGTGAACTGGACAGGGGTGCTAGTTTCTGTGACCCCTGATTGACTTGCCCGTTCTCTCTCTCTCTCTCGGCTCAGGCGTGTTTATCTGCCGTGGCAAAGAGGATGCGCTGGTGACAAGGAACATGGTTCCAGGGGAGTCCGTGTACGGGGAGAAGAGAATTGGGGTCGAGGTAAGGTACCCTCTGTCTCCTATGCACGCGCAGAATCTTCAGAGTGGAGCTGTCAATATAGATAGTGTGGGGGGCAGGTTTTATTCTGCAGACTATCAGACAGTACATTCCAGACCCTAACCACTCGAGTGAACCTGCACACCCCCCACACTCTCAGTCCCAGTCTTTCCGATCTCTCCACAGAAGTGATTCCCTTCATAAGAACATAAGAACTAGGAGCAGGAGTAGGCCATCTGGCCCCTCGAGCCTGCCCCGCCATTCAATAAGATCATGGCTGATCTTTTTGAGACTCAGCTCCACTTACCCGCCTGCTCACCATAACCCTTAATTCCTTTACTGTTCAAAAATTTATCTAGCCTTGCTTTAAAAACATTCAGCGAGGTAGCTTCAACCGCTTCACTGGGCAGGGAATTCCACAGATTCACAACCCTTTGGGTGAAGAAGTTCCTCCTGACCTCAGTCCTACATCTGCTTCCCTTTATTTTGAGGCGATGCCTAGTTTCACCTGCTAGCGGAAACAACCTCCCTGCCTCCACCTTATCTATTTCCTTCATGATCTTAAATGTTTCTATAAGATCTCCCCTCATTCTTCTGAATTCCAATGAGTATAATCCCAGTCTACTCAGTGTCTCCTCATAATCCAACCCTCTCAACTCTGGAATCAACCGAGTGAATCTCCTCTGCATCCCCTCCAGTTCTAGTATATCTCTCTTCAAGTAAGGAGATCAAAACTGCACACAGTACTCCAGGTGTAGCCTCACCAGGACTCTATACAGCTGCAGCATAGCCTCCCTGTTTTTAAACTCCGTCCTTCCAGCAATGGGACCATTCTCCTGAATCTTTTCCATGTCCTCTCCAAAGACTTCACATCCTTCCTAAAGAGCGGGGCCCGAAACTGGACACAGCCCTCCAGCTGAGGTTGAACCAGAGTC